TACACGTTTGGAAGTCCGGTCTCAGGGCGCCGCCATCTTGCTCAGTGGGGTGCGTTTGGGTGTGGGCATAATCCGATTACGACGCCTTAGCAAGGCTTCGAAATCGAATTATGACGCGTCCAAGCGCACCCCAACAGAGCAAGATGGCGGCACTCTGAAGCCGGACTTGCAAACGTGTATAGACCGTTTTCAGAAGGGCGCCGCCATCTTGAAATATCGTTACTTCCAGTATGAGTGAAAACATTGTTCTGCCATCGCCACGCCAATAGAATGCACTTAGAAGATAATCGTAACCGTCACCCATTCTCGTTTTGTCTCCCCTCTATTTTTTTACTATTTCGAGGTTGAAACGTTTAAGTATTTTTCCATCGCCCATACCGGATATGCCTACATGGCGGTCGGGGGCGAGAGTAAGCGGAAAAGGTCTAGAGATCGTTCCGCTAAGAAAAGCGGAAAGAGAAAAAATGCTCTCCCCCTCTCACCCCGCGTCTCGTCTGCGCCGCCGAGTGGGCTGTACCTAGCATCCGGCTGGCGTTCAAATTCGGTTTAAAATAGCGTCATTTTGGACATTTCAAGTGCAGACGCAAAGCTTTTAATATTCAAGTTATCGTGTAATGCTATGCTCGATAAAAGCACTAACCGGGTCTAATTGCGCTGCTACCTGGGTGCAAATTAAAAAGACAAATGGACAAATTGTGTCAGAGTGACCGGTCCTCCGGCGAAGAACAAATCCGGTTGCTGTACCTTTTTTACTATACAAAGTTCCTACTGGTGTAGGCCTTTAGCGAGAATGAGTGGAAGTCTGGAATCATAAATAAAAACCTGCTCTCCTGAGTCCTGACGCAAAAAACGCAGTGGTTGAGGGTAGTACTGCCAATTGACTCCACTGCTATTGAAGTAACGGAATAAAGATACGCTAGTTTATCATTTAGTGAAATAAAACAACACAGCGCTCTGCGATGATCTTGGAGTAGCCATAAATATTCTAAGAACGGGAACCACTTCATAACGGCAGCCACGAGCGAGAGTTCGATGTTCGGTACAGCCCACCGGTACAGCCCAAAGATGGAGAGCGGTAACCTCCCGGTTTGTACTCTGCTAGCGGAATCAGGCGCGTGCCCTCTCTCTCGTTTTACCCCGCCAAACCTGCTGAACTTCCCGGATGTGGGGAGAGGATGCTGCGGTCGAACGAAATGGCGCCGCCCTTAGAGTGCTAAATGGAATGGTCTATACAAAACTCGGGAAAGAGGCGGCGGCGATGGAGAGGAGAATAAAGTGAAGCATAGATCGTTGCGTTTGAACATTGTTGGTCTACTCTCGGTCTGCCGCCGGAGGTGATCCGCCAGAACCTAGCCATAAAGAGCTTCGCTGTAAAAGGGAGAATGGCCTGCTTCGTTTATTTCTTGGGTAAAACCAGCTGAACAAAGGAAGGAAGATGACAGGAGAAAAGAATGGCGAACCGACCACTGGACTACCAACTGTTTTTTTATTAAATCTTCCTCTTCTTCTATTAATTTATTTCCAATCATTCTTTTTCTTTTTCTTTCCCATTGCTCTTATTTTTGCTCATATTTTATCTTATTTTTTCTCCTGATTTGTATCAATTACCCAAGAAGGGTGTGTGTAGAAAGAGTTTTTCTTTGACTTTCAAGGTAATTGAAGGGATGCTCACGCACTTGTCGTCTTCTTCGTCGATAGCAAGGGCCTCTAAAACCTCCCTTGCTACCGACGTCTTTGACCCGTCGCCTCACCCCACTTGCCCACGTAATCGCAGTCGCCTCCATGACTGGCTGTGTGAAGAATTCATATTTCTTGCGGAGCTGGTTGACCCGCTCCGTAAACTGCGTCTGCACGCAGTTGAAATTGATGTAGTCGAACACTCGCCTTGCCCACCGATGCCTGTTCATATGTAGGAGTCGTCGCTGGTAGGTTAGCCTGCTTGATGCCTCTCGTGCCTCAAACGTCGACCACCCGATGTCTCCTTGTATGGCCTCAATCGCCACGTTGCCGTGGCAGTTGAGTGCTTGGCGACCGACATCCCTCTGCCTGCGTTCTATCCAGGCTCGTGTGTCAGCCGAGGCACATACGATCTCATTGGCAAACGTGAGCCCAGGCACATAAACAGCTTTCCACAATTCCTCGATCATCAAATATCTGTTACAGCTCCACATAATGCGCCGGCGTAATATATTTTGCCCTCTCTGGGCTGTCTGTCTAAGGTGTATTTGGTATTCGTCACAGTATAGTCGGGCCCATTCGTTAGTGCGACTACCAGGTACCTATACTTCCCAGTCATCGTAACGTCTTCCATCTGCAGCTGTAACTTATTATTTACAATGCCGTTCCCAGAGAACTGCACCACAGCCGATTTCTGAACATTAATCTTCCGACCCAACACGGACGATGCTTCCACGCAAATATCTGCTAGCCTCTGCAACGTGTTTATGTCTTCAGCCATGAGGACGAGATCATCCGCGTATGCGAGACCCGGTAATGTCCAGGGTGTCACGCATCCATCTTCTATGCGGCGGAATGAAAACCCTAAACCGAATGTTATTAATTTGCGCTCTATCCCTGCCGTGTACAACATCTACAGTGGAGGTGAGAGAGGGCATCGCTGCTTCAGTCCCCTTTTTACATTGACCCGCGTTGAGTGTACATAACCAAACGCGGCTGTAACAGTACCTCCGTCGTATAGTCGCTGTATCAATTCCGTCCACTGGTGAGGATGCTAGTTTTTTGAGGCAGTAGAATAGGGACCCATGTGGCACGCTGTCATGTGCCTTAGCAACATCCCAGAAGCAGCATACGAAGTTCCTGTCAACTTTTCTGGCTATCACTATGATCTGTGTTAAAACAAAGAGGTCATCCTCCAGTCGGTGATCTTTTCGGAAGCCGTTCTGAAGTTCAGTCAGTTTTCCATTCCCCTCTGCCCAGGCACATATCCATTGTTTTATCACACACGCGACACTCTGCGGATGACGCTTGTCCCGGTCAGATGGCGGCAGTCCTGCAGTCGTCGCTTGTTTCCTCCTCGTTTCGGCAGCAGTACGATTCGATTATTCACCCAATCGTCAGGAATGAAGCTGCCCGAAATTATATTTGTAAATATGAATGTCAGTTGTCTTCTACTCTCGTGGCCCATGCATTTAAGAATACCCACAGATATTCCATCCTCTTCGCGCGCTGTGTTAGTTTTGATATGGGCGATTGCTCTGTCAAGTGCCATTGTCGTTACTTCCCATTTCGGCTCAACCAACCGCCCTTTTGACCCTGGCGGTCATGATTCGGTCAGGTCTCCTGGTTTTCTTGGTGTTGCCACTGGGTCTCTTGACTCGAACATCGATGTCATATATTCCGATAAGTATCCCGCTAAATTCACTACATCGTTCCCTGTGTCGTCCACCAAGAAGGTTCGGTACAGGGTCCCTACTGTCCATTGACCTCATATATCGCCAGAATTTTTCGGCTGCTGCTTTACCGCTATCTATGAGTTCTTTTATTTTTCGCTGGTCTGCCTCTGTCATCTTGTATTATATTAAGACTTGCAGCTTGCATTTTAAAGTAAGGAACTCGTTCCAGGCCAGCTTCACTTCTACGCTGTTTCCTCCCTTGACAGCCCGTCAAAGAGCCTGGTTGGCTTGCCTTCTCACTTCTCGCGCTACTTTCGCCTCCGGATCCCACCAGCTACTGCGCCGAAATCCGCCTCCTGACCGACCGTCTCCGGAAGGAGTGTACTTTAATTAGATGTTTGAGTTCCCTGATAAACTCCTCATAGTTCGTCACTGAAGCCCGTCTTGTGCTGGCTTCAAACTCCTTCGCCACGATTTCTATGGCGCTCACAGGTAACACAAGTACGACAGTCTTGTATTGTTCCTTTTGTGGCCGCTTCCATGTTGAAGACGAAAAGTCCACCCTCGGACGGTTATGATAACTGCCTAAACTGAATGTTCCATCTTCGTCTATCTGCATGCTCTGTAGTTTACGTCCAAGTGCACTGGAAATTAGCACGTAGTCAATACTTCCTGGATGGATGGATGGATGAATCCGGGTGAGCCCTTTGGATCGGGCGGTAGCTTACGCAACCGAGCCATTTTGTTTTAACATTTAAGCTTAGAATATTTAAATGTGAAATCTATATTCACTTCGTACTGCAAAAAAAGTGAGGCTATAAAACCTCCTTGCCATGAGTTAATAAGAAAAAACCTAGTTTGCTCTCACTTTCTGCCACCATTCACTTAATCTTTGCTTGGTAATCTCTACAGTCTTGAAATCCAGAATGTTTGCTTGGTAATCTCTACAGTCTTGAAATCCACACTCCCTTCGCTGTCTCTAAAACCCAATGACTTTATTAAATCTGTGTTGTCTTCGGTAGGCATAGGGTGAAGCCCTTTACAGTAGAGTATCAAGTGCTCAGCCGTCTCGTTCTCCTCTCCACAAGCAGTGCACACTGTATCCATTTCCTGGTACTTCGCTCTGTACCTTCTGGTTCGCAGAACACCCGTCCTCGTCTCAAACAACAATGAGCTTCCTCTAGAATTGCCATAAATTCTTTCTTTGGCAATAACTGTTTTGTTTAATCTACAGCTTTCCAGAGCCGTTTTGGTCTGCATTCCGTCTTGCCACCAGTCTCTTTCTGTGGCCCGAACTTTCTTCTTAACTGAGACCTGCTCTTCCGTATCTCCACTATAGCCTAAAAACTTTTGTGATATCGTGCCAAGTGACGTCGTGCGGTGACGCACAGGACCAGCGACAAGCCGGCGATGTGATATCGTGCCAAGTGACGTCGTGCGGTGACGTGAAGGACGGGCAGGCGAGCGTGCGCCTTTCCTTCTCTTTCCTTCTCTCTTGTAAGCGTCGATAAGCATCGGCGCTGAACTATTTAAGCCGCGCTGTCGCTTCAATAAATCTTCTTCTTGTTGGAGCAGCTGTCTCAGCTTGGTCACTACATTGGCGACGAGGCACGGTGTGGCCCGTGCGGGCCGCTGGAAACAGGCGTGATGGCGTTGGGTGGCCGCATTTCCGAGTTTGACGTTCATGGAAATTCGACATGGAAAGAATACGTCGAGCGCATCGAACTGTACTGTGCCGTCAACAAGGTGTTGGAGGCCGTGGACAAGAGGGCGGTGCTGCTGAGTTGCTGCGGGCAGGAAGGGTACTCCCTGATATCGACGTTCGTCAAGCCCCTACGACCGCCGAACGTGGAATACCAGGTCCTCATCGACACCGTACAGAACCACATTCAGCCAAAGCCGTCGGAGCTGTATTCGAGGTACGTGTTTTCGAAACGGGACCAGGAATTTGGCGAGTCTGTGGCCGACTACGTCACTGCTTTGCGAAGGTTAGCTGGCAACTGTGGGTTCGGTGGGGACAAGTTTCCGCTTACTAAAATGCTGCGCGACCGGCTGGTTTTCGGAATAGCCGACGGAGTCGCACAACAACGGCTCCTGGCAGAAAAGAAACTGACTTTCAAAGCAGCGTACGATCTCGCAGTCACGGCAGAGACTACAGCTAAGCAGCACCAAGCTATAAGCGAAAGACGACGAAAAGCGGAAGCTCAGCTAGAAATGACCGCGCAAGTAGGCTCGCGAGCTAAAGTGCCGAACGCGGAAAACCACGGAAGCCAACGGGTCGCGGGGACCTGGGAGCAAGGTGAGCGGCGTTGCTTTCGGTGTTTAGGCAACCACGCAGCTGTGCGGTGCAGGTTCAAAAATGCAAAGTGCTTCAAGTGTTCAGGAAAAGGACACATAGAAAGAGCGTGCAAAGCAAATAAGACGCAAGCACAGGATCAGCTTGCAGACCGGGTGACACAGGAACCGAGTACGACAGCCTATTCAGCATCGGCCAAGTAGCAAGCGCTGTACCGAAGTACGTGGTTGAGGTCGAGATTGGCGGAGAGAATGTGAAAATGGAAGTGGATTCTGGGGCTGCGCGATCTATTATCAGCCAGAGGGAGTTTAAAAAACTAGTGGCGTCAAAGCGGGGAAAACTGGAAGAGCCAGGCACGCAGTTGGTCACCTGGACGAAAGAGGGTATCGAGATTTTGGGAAAAGCCGTGGTGCCAGTGAAGTTCAAAGGTCAAAATTCCGAGTTGCCGCTGCTGGTGGTCAAGAACGGCGGGAACACTTTGCTTGGCCGCGATTGGTTGGGACCTTTGAATATAGAAGTAATGGGTCTTCATTCCGTCAGCAGGAGCCGAGAAATTTTCGCTGCCCGATTTCCGCAGGTGTTCAGCGGGTCTCTGCCTGGCGCGTTTTTACCGCCCATTCACATCGAGATGAAGGACGGCGCCCTGCCAAAGTTCCTGAAATGCCGGAACATTCCTTTTGCGCTGAAAGAGGATGTTGTGATCGAGCTCAATAGGCTTGTGCAGTTAGGAATATTGAAGCCAACCCAATACTCCGAATGGGCAACACCCATTGTTGTGGTGCGGAAAAAGGATGGCTCGCTTAGAATCTGCGGAGACTATAGAAGCACAGTTAACCAGGCAGTAAAGAGCAATGTGTATCCTCTACCCACCAGCAAGGAGATTTTCGCTAAGCTAGGAAAGGGGCGGTTCTTCTCGAAGCTTGATCTGGCACAGGCGTACCAGCAGCTTGTGGTCGACGATACAACTGCCGATCTGCTCACGCTAAACACCGTACAAGGGCTCTACAAAGTTCGCCGCCTACCGTACGGCGTATCTGTGGCACCAGGACTGTTTCAAAGGGCAATGGACACTATCCTTGCTGGGCTACCTAAAATAGCTGTGTACCTGGACGATATCCTGGTGGTTAGCGAAAAGGCCAAGGAGCATGAACGCATGCTCACGGATGTATTCGAACGCCTAGATAAGGCTGGAGTCAGAGTGCAAGCAAACAAATGCGAGTTGTTTCAGGAAAGCCTCGAGTTCCTGGGTCATCGCATCGATAAGTGTGGCATCTACCCTTCCGAGGTGAAAGTCGAGGCCATCCATTAAGCCCCGGCCCCAACTAAGAAGGAACTTCAGGCCTTCTTGGGTATGGTGAATTTTTACATTTTTTTGCGGGGCAGATCCGAAATAGCCGAGAAGCTGCACCGTTTACTTGATGACAATGCTACCTGGAAATGGGACGAAGAGCACCAACGGGCGTTTGAAGGCCCAAAAAAATTGTTAACATCGCAGTCCTTGCTTGTGCATTTTAACGAAAGTGCTCCGTTGATACTCTCCTGTGATACGTCTCCGGTGGGTGTGGGTGCTGTACTCGCTCACTGTGACGAGACGGCAAAGGAGCATCCCATTGCCTATGCGTCAAGGACGTTAACAAAGGCTGAGCGGAATTATGCTCAAATAGACCGAGAACCATTAGCCATGGTGTTTGGAGTGCGTCACTTTCATCAGTACCTAGCAGGGCGAAAATTTGTTATTCTCACGGACCACAAACCGCTGCTAGGAATATTTCGGCGAGAGAAACAAATACCGGATGTTCTGTCACCACGCATGCTACGATGGAGCCTATTGCTGTCGGCCTACGAATACCAGCTTGACTACCGCAAAACTCAGGATCATGCGAACGCTGATTGCTTGAGCAGGCTCCCGGTTCCAGCATTTAGGTTGGAAGCAGAAACGCCGGGCAACGTATTGCTTTTCGAAGCCGCTGAGTACCCGCGAGTCACCGCCGCAGAAGTTGCTGGCTGCACGTCGCAAGACAGTCGGCTATCGGAAGTAAGGAAATGGATCATCGACGGCTGGCCAAAAGAAGGGGTACCGAAAGACTACGGTGCGTACGAGGTAAGGCAGAACGAACTGTCCGTGCATCGTGACTGTGTGGTTTGGGGAAACCGCGTGGTAATCCCTGAGGTGCTGCAAAAACGTGTCCTCATCTTGATACATGCTAATCACCCGGGAGTGACGGCAATGAAAGCTATCGCGAGGTCCTACGTTTAGTGGCCGAAGATGGATGCGCAGATCGAAGAATTTGTGCGGCACTGCAAGGCGTGCCAGGAAAACCGGCAAAGTGAGCCGAAAGCGCCTACGCATTTCTGGACGAAACCGGAGCGAGCATATAGCCGAGTGCATATCGATTTTGCGGGTCCTGTCGATGGTGGGGTTTTCCTAGTGGCAGTTGATGCTTTCTCGAACTGGGCGGAGGTGGAAATAATGACGTCAATGCACTCATCTGCAGTGATCGAGCGGCTGCGTAAGATGTTTGCAACATACGGACTGCCAGATTTGATTGTTTCAGATAATGGCACGGCGTTTACCAGCCGGGACATGCAGTCCTTTTTGAAGTTGAACGGCATTGCGGACATGTATACTGCTCCCTACCCCCCTGCGAGTAATGGAGAGCAGAACGCATGGTTCGGGAGCTAAAATGTGCACTGAGAAAGCAGAGGCAAGGCTCTCTAGCGTGCAAGGTGTCTCGCTTCTTGTTCAAGCAACATTCCACGCCACACTCGCAGTCCGGCAAGACCCCAGCTGAGCTTATGCTGGGCCTGTCAAAACTTCACCCCGATGCGATGGACGTGGAGTGCAAACGGCAGCCTCCAGAACAAAGCTTTCAGTGCAGTTACTCTTGTCTACGCAAGGAATTTTCGCCAAGGTCCGAAGTGGTTGGCTGCTCGTGTGCTACAGCGCGGGGTCACGTCATGTACGAGGTCTAGACATCCGACGGGAGTATCCATCGACGTCACCGGAACCACGTGCGAAGGGCCTGGGAACCAGCAACTCCAACCGGCGGGACAACAGCTTCGTTTGCCCTTCCGGGAACGCCCGTTTCGGAGCCTGGCCCTCTGGAGGCCGGGGTTTCCCTTCCGGGCCCGTCAAGTCTGGGGGCGAGGTCACCTGCGGTGAAGACTCCCGTATTGAGGCGTTCTTCTCGCCAGCGTCGCCCGGTGCACCGATACGGCATAGATGACTAGGGGGGAGGGATGTGATATCGTGCCAAGTGACGTCGTGCGGTGACGCGCAGGACCAGCGACAAGCAGGCGGTGTGATATCCTGCCAAGTGACGTCGCGCGGTGACGTGCAGGACGGGCAGGCGAGCGTGCGCCTTTCCTTCTCTTTCCTTCTCTCTTGTAAGCGTCGATAAGCATCGGCGCTGAACTATTTAAGCCGCGCTATCGCTTCAATAAATCTTCTTGTTGTTGGAGCAGCTGTCTCAGCTTGGTCACTGCAACTTTCCTCTTAATTTCCTAGTGCGCTGTCTCCACTTTGTGTCTATACTCCTCCTGTATAAATAGCTGAAAACCTTTCGTGCCCATTGGTCCCCATCCATTTGCCTCAACCGATCCTCAAATTCTATCTTGCTCACCGCTTCCCTGCTCTCAAATGACGCCCATCCCATGTCTCCTTGTACTCACTGGTTTAACGTATTGCAACGTGCCCCCAAAGCCAGCCTCCCTACTCTGCGCTGTTTTATTTCTAGTCTTGCATGCACTTCGAACTTCATGCATAGCACTGCGTTTCCAAAAGTCAAGCCAGGCACCATGACCACTTTTCAAATGCCTCTCACCACCTCATACCTGTTGCAATTCCAAAGCGCTCTATTTTTCATTACAGCTGCATTTTCTGTTGCCCTTAACTATTATATACGTTTCATGCTCACTGAGATATTCTGCACCATCACATATCCATACTCCTAGATACTTGTATTTACTAGCTCTCTAGAGTGCAATATTCTGTATCTTCAGCCTCTCAACTACATCATCGTTAAAAATCATGACTGCTGATTTTTCACTACTAAATTCCAAACCTAATTCCTCTCCTTCCTTACCACAGACGCTCATTGATTCCTGTAACTCTGTCCTGTTTTTAGCTATTAGCACGATATCATCCGCATACATCAATCCCGGTAAAGATTGCTGAATATTTTGGCCTAGTTTACTGTACGAAAGGTCGAATCCAAGCCCACTCTTCTTTAGTCTATCCTCCAATCCTCTCAGATACAACATAAACAGCAAAGGCGATAACGGGCACCCCTGCCTAAGGCCTCGCCTGATTTCTATTTTCCCCGTCGCCTTCCTTTCCCATGTTATAATCCCCTTATTATCTTTGTAAATGTTCCTTAATAGAGCTGTTAGTCCTTCATATAGGTTTAAGCTCTCCACTATGTCCCACAGGGTGCTTTGGTTCACATTGTCATAGGCACCCTTGATATCCAGAAATGCCAGCCAGAGCTGTCTGTTTTATTTTTGCGCTATTTCTATACACTGTGTTAGAGAAAATATATTGTCCACCAACCTTCTTTTTTTCCTAAACCCGTTCTGTAGCTCACCCAGTATGCCCTCAAAATCTACCCATTCCTCCAGTCTGTTCTTTATAATTTGCATTACCAACCTGTAAATAACTGGTGTCACAGTTATGGGACGATAATTCCTGATATCAGACTCACCTCCCTTTCCCCTATATATCATACTCATCCTACTAAGCCTCCATTCATCTGGAATATTTCTTTTTGTTACCATAGTGCTGACTACCTCCCTTAGTTTTGCCTTAGATTTAGGACTCAAATTCTTCACCAGCTTGATTGGGAAACCATCTGTGCCTGTCGACGTGCCACTAGGGACTCTTTGTTCTGCCTTTTTCCATTCTCTTTGTCCAAACTCCGCAATGTCACAAGCTGGACTGCTACTTCCTTCGGTCCTCCTATCTTCCATATGTACCCGTTCCCGAAATTTCTCCTCCATCACTGCTTCTATCTATCATATCGCATGATCTCCCTGTTGGAAAATATCGATGATGGAAAGATGACGGAAAAGGCTCATACAAGCGTAACCGTAATATGGGACATCCTATACAAGCGAAAAAGGCGGCTCCAGTATAGTGGAATAAGGCGGAACGATACAGGTGGGCGGAACCATACAAGCGTGTCGTATTATGGGACATCCTATACCAGCGTAGTGGATTAAGGCGGAACTATGGAGGTGGACGGAACCATACATGCATAACGTAATATGGGACATCCTATACCAGCAAAAAGGCGATACCAGCATGGTGGAGCCATATGGCTCCAGCATGTTGGTTTCGCCTTTTCACTGTTGTACAGGGCGATTTAGTTTTAAGCTTTACATATATGTTTAGAAAGGTCGTGAAAGCTAAATTAATGCGGTTTGTGCAGGCGAGTTATACGGCCAGGCGTACGTAGTATAGGGACCTAGTCGTAACGATCAGTCAGATAATTAAATACAATTTGTTAATCAACTTTT